TATTTTCAAAGTCGAGTATTGAAATGAGAGAGAAAGTGGGTAGGAGGAGGAATAAGGGGAGAGAGAGGGAGGGGATGCAGGGAAGAAGCTGAATGAGAACATTCTTGTCCGTGTCCAGTAACTTAATTACTCAATGCTCTGTGCGTGTTGAGTTGATAGAGTCTTGGGGCAAATGCTGTAATTCCTACCCAAGAAAGGCACTGGAACACAAGTCATCGTTTGGCACGACTACATCAAGAAAAGCGGCTGACAGCCAGAAGAGATCAAAAGCAGATCAGGTTGCTTAACGAACTTCATGTCACAGAGCTCAGAACACCATGTGCACCCTGAGCAGCTATGGAAATCTCGGCAGTAAGTAGAGAAACTGAACACCGTGGATGTTCTTATAAATACTAAAATGAGATTCAGTCGTCTTACTAAAATGTCTCAGTTTCTCCTTGTAAATAAAAACCAAGTCTCCAAGCAGAAACAGAAGTGATAGAGCCAGCAAATGAGTGACTTCATGGTTATAGCTCATGTCTTCATCAAACTAATCACACGATTGTATTTTAACCTTATTATGAATAGCCAAGAGTGGATATTTACTGCATGAAAGGTATGCCTTCCATACATTATCCTATTTTTCAAACCTTTTTGAAACAATTTGTCTCTGGAAAATAAAAAAAAGATGTGGACAGGCTGTTTGAATCTTCTTAAATGAATTCCATAATTTGATCATTTAGAGGGAATCATTTTTAATAGGCTACTTTTATCAAAGCAGATATAGTTTTAAAGTAATTGTATCTAAAACAGCATAACCTAATAATCTCCTGTTTGACTCCCATTTAGTGCGATGGATAGTATCTATCTATTTATATCCATCTCATTCTAAAGAGGACACGAGGCGGCTTTATTTTGCGCCTTGTTGATATGAAATGCTACATTCAGGATAACTCTTTACTTCCTAGAAAGTGAATATAATTTTCTGTCCGTAAGATTATCTTCTTCGTGTCACCATACTTCTTATTTTCCATGGAAAAACCCAAATTTTGGAAAAGCAAAAAATGAGGTAAAATATGAGTTTTTTTGTCAGTTTTTAATCCTCAGTGTTTGACAGCTTTGTAAAAAGCTCTTCAAGCTGATTTCATTTTAAAAGAACAGTAATATAAAATTCTGCTATTTCATGAACTATAGTTTCCTTTCCCACCTTCACTGTAAGCTCCTGAGAAGCAAATGTCATTCTTCTGTTACTGACACAGAACCAGCCTTGCATTTCTCAAAATGTGTTCCACTAACTACAGAACCCACCAGAAACTATGGGGGAAAAAAGCGCTCTGTGGTCAAATAAACTGGAAAACTATTTCTTTCAGAGAATACTGGAATTCCTTCTAAATTTAACTTAACCTAGCAGTTTCTATATGCATTGGATCATGAAACTCCCCATTTATTCAATTCTACCAAATTGTAAAAAGCTACGGACAAACTTGGGGAAAAATTTGTGCCAGGCAAATGTTATGG